GGTGTAGGTCCAAGAGTCCACAAGCTGAAGAACTTGGAGTCTGATGTTCCAGGGCAGGAAGCACCCAGCACAGAAGAAAGATGAAAGCCAGAAGACTCAGCAAGTCGACTTCTCCCACCTTCTTCTGCCTCCTTTATTCTAGCCATGCTGGCAGCTGATTAGATGGTGCCCACCCACACTGAGGGTGGGTCTGCCTCTCCCAGTCCACTGACTCAAATGTTAATCTCCTTTGGCAACACCCTCACAGACATAACCAGGAACAATACTTTGCATCCTCACTCCAATCAAGTTGACACTTAGTTTTAACCATCACACATTTTAGCAGCATGTTTCAATTGATCAAAAAGGAAATAGCTCAGATACATAATCAGGTCTAAGGGGAGCTGGGCTGAGTGACCAAGCAGGCCCTCCCAGAGCCCCTCAGTTTTTCTTTTAAATGCAATCATCACCACAGCAGAAGTAGCATTTTTGCCTGAGTGTGTGGGGTGGTGGGGAGACAGGGACTTGTTAACATGCAAAGTTACCAACCCAAGGGAGCAAATACACCCATGTATAAAAACAGAAACTGAGGAGAGCCGACACCGAGAAGGGTTGAATAACAAAACCAGGGTGCTTATATCAGCCATGACTTCTAGGCAAGATAGGAGATTTTTTAAAGATTGTACTAAAACTAGATGTTATAAACATCCTCTCTACTTCTATGAGAGCCTGCGGGGACAGCTCAACACAGAGCAAAGGATCAACTGAGAGAGAGAGAGAGAGAATTTCCTGGGTAACAGGTGGCCGCTGCAGGCACTTGCTGCGTGTGTATTGACAGAAGGAACACTTGCCTTCTGCTCCACACTCATACATATCTGGCTTACGACAGAAACACAGTCGACGAAGGCTCTGTTCTTAAAGGGAGCGCTTTGGGCAACTGCAGATGGGGAAAGAAAACTAATGAAGAGCCTTCATGCAAGGAAATGACCATTTTGATGATGACAGGCATGGATGAAGAACAGCATGGAGCCTAGAAGAAGATTCTTAATGAAAACTATCTAGGGGAAAGTAGATCCTGAGAGGCCAGCATGGACACAGTGACCTCTGTGAAATCTGGCTAAGAATCAAATTAAATCCTCAGTGTGATTAAAGGTTAACATCAGAACTGCCCTGTACATTTTTATATGTTTAGTAGATGTACATTTTGATTGGGTTAACTATTTGGTTAACTCTATATTGTTAGCTGTCAGAGTATGGATTCAATCAGTCTGAACTTATTTTTTGAGGTGTATGTAAAGCTCTGAGTTAAAAAAATTTAGAGGCTTTGTTAAAGAAAGCAAGCTGTCCTTCATGAACCCCACTATCAACTGCAATCAAGACTCCAGAGTGGACAGACCAGCCTGGAGAGCAGTAAAACCAGGTAAGCAGCACCTCTTCAGGAACAGGGATGTGAGGAGGTTTATTCCTGCCTGCTCATAGTTGTTTTACTTCAAACTCGTAAGAATTGAGGTTAATGAACGTGATGGCTTCTGATTGTACAGTGAGAGGTTAAAGAAATAAGGAGAAGGACTAACAGAAGGTTCTTACTTTACCATCTGCCATAGTTCGGATGTTTGTCCCCTCTGGATCTCATGTCGAAATGTGATCTCCAGTGCTGAAGGTGGGCCTAGAGGGAGGTTTTTGGAGTGTGGGGGAGGATCCCTCATGAATGTCTTGGTGTCCTCCTCATAGTAATAAGTGAGTTCATGCAAGATCTGATTGTTAAAGAGTCTAGGGTCCCTCCTACTTCTCGCCTCCTTTTGCCATGTGTGTCACCTTCCACCATGAGTGGAAGCTTCCTGAGGCCCTCACCAGAAGCAATGCTGGTGCCATGCTTGTGCAGACTGCCAAACTGTAGCCAAATAAAACTCTTTTCTTTACAAATTACCCAGCCTCAGGTATACCTTTTTAGCAGTGCAAAATGGACTAATACAGAACATTTATGCTGAGGAATGTGGTGTTGCTGTAAAGACACATGAAGATGTGGAAGCAGCTTTGAAACTGCGTAATGGGCAGAGGTTAGAAAAATTTGGAGGGCTCAGAAGAAGACAGGAAAGTTTGGAACTTCTTAGAGACTGGTTAGTCTTAGAGACTTCTTAGAGACTGATTGTGACCAAAATACTCATAGAAACATGGACAGTGAAAGCCAGGCTAAGCAGGTCTCAGATGGAAATGAGGAAGTTATTGGGGAATGGAGCAAAGGTCACGCTTGTTACACCCTAGCAAATAACTTTGCTGCGTTGTGCCTATGTCCTAGGGCTCTGTGGAAGGTTGAACTTGAGAGTGATGACCTAGGGTATCTGGTGGAGGAAATTTCTCAGCAGCAAAACATTCAAGAAGCTGAGTGGCTGCTTCTAACAACCTACATCAGATATGAGAGCAAAGAAATGACTTCAAGTTGGAATTTATATTTAAAAGGGAAGCAGAGTGTAATGTTTGGAAATATCACAACCTAGCCATGTAGTGGAGAAGGAAAAAGCATTTCAGGACAGAAATACAAGTAGGCTAAGGAGCAACCACTTGGTAGAGAAATTTGCATGATTAAAAAGGAGTCAAGTGCTTATAGCCAAGATAATGGGAAAAGTGCCTAGAAGGCATTTTGGAAATCTCTGAGGTAGTCCCTCGCATCACAGACCTGGAGGCCTAGGAGGAAAGAATGGCTCCAGGGGACAGGCTCATGGCACCTTGACCTGTGCAATCTCGGGACACTGCTCCCCCCATCCCCACTGGGGCTCAAAGGGTCCCAGGCACAGTTTGGGCTATTACTTTGAAGAGTGCAAGTCACTGTAAGCCTTGGCAACTTCCATGAAGTGTTAAGCCAGCAGGTGCTCAGAATGTAACAGCAAAGAAGGCTCAGCAGTTTCCACCTAGATTTCAGAGGGTGTATGGGAAAGTCTGAGTGCTTAAGCAGAAGCCTGCCATAGGGGAAAAGCCTCACAGAGAGACTCTACTTCCTCTTGCTCCTTTTTGCCATGTGATGCGCCTGATCCCCCTTTGCCTTCTGCCATGAGAGGACGCTTCCTGAGGCCCTCGCCAGAAGCAGTACTGGCTCCATGCTTTTATAGCCTGCAGAACTGTGAGCCAAATACTTTTTTCTTTAACAATTGCCCAGCCTCAGGTATTCCTTTATGGCAATGCAAAATGCACTAACACATCATCTTTTTTACTTTTGTCTTTCACCTTTTCAAAGTATAGAAGGTCCTCAATTTATAGTGGTTTGACATACGATGTTGTGGCTCTATGATGGTGTGAAAGGGAAATGCATTTAGTAGAAACCATACTTTTTTTTTTTTTAGTTTACACTGATAAGAAAGATATAGACTTTATGTTAGATTATTTTGCCCAACTACAGACTAATGTGAGTGTTCTGATTGCATTTAAGGTAGGTTAGACTAAGCTGCGTTGTTCAGTAGGTTAGGTGTATTAAGTGCATAACAATGCATATCCTGTCAACAGACTTAAGATATTTTCAATTTAGGATGGGTTTTTCAGGATATAACCCCGTCGTACATAAATCAAGGAACACCTGTATGTGTTTGTCCCTAAAAACCAGGCTGCAATCTCCCAAGACCACTGGCATCCCTTGCTGGGGATGGTGTGCAATGCATTATCACCTTCACTCCAAGGGAGTGATGACTGAGCTGAGAGTCAGAAAAACAGATTTTAGTTCATGTTCTGTACTAGCAGCTAGCTGGAATGACCCTGTTCAAGTCTTCTGATTTTTTCATGTCATTTCATAATCTAGTTCTGCTGACAGTACTCTCCCCTCATCAGACCCAGGGCCCTTTCTAACTTGGCTCTTCCTACTCCCACTCTATTTAACTCTGCCTGGAGAAGCTCTCTATGGGCTGGACCCATAAACTCACCTGGGCTGGGGCCTCTTTCCAAGAAAGCCTCTGTCAACTTGCAAAGGATCTAAGACATTTCTCTACTTCCATCCCCTCTCCCAGTCCCCCTTACTTATCTATAATTCCAATGCCTTCCAGGCCAAGTCAAATCCTGATTTCCCCAAGAAACATCGCCAGAGTCTCTCAGAATCTGTCCTCTGTCCTCCAGGGTGATTTACGTACATGTCTCTTTCTCCTGCTCCTGCTTGATTATGGATTCCTCAAAGGAGGGGTTAAATCTCCTTTGCCACAGCCCCTAACATTTTGCTTTGTTGAGTCTGTTGGACAAAATAATTGGTTTGAACAAAATAATTTGTACTAAATTTGTATTAAATAAATGTAATTGGGATACATGTAGAAAATTTCTGTTTAGGTTATTTAATACACACACAGCATATTCTAAGTGTTTTTAAAATGCCTTTATTGAGATATGATTTACATGCCATAGAATTCACTATGTAAAGTGTACAATTCAATGTTTTTAGTATATTCACAGGGTTATGCAACCATCACCAGAATCCAATTTTAGAATCTCTTTGTCTCTCCAAAAGGAAACCCCGTACCCATTAGCAGTCACTCTTCATTTCCACCTATCACCCAGCCCCTGACAACCACTCATCTACTTTCTGTCTCTATAGATTTGCCTATACTGGACATATAAATAGAATCATACAAGACGTGGTCTTTTATGACCTAAGTTTTATGCTATTGAAACGTTCCGAAATTTTTCTTTTTGAAAGGTTGGCTCCTTTAAATAAACCTCTGGCAAAATCCATTCCAGAAGGAAGAAATCATTAATCAGGCAAGAGGAACACTGAATGACCTTTCTAAGGGTATTTGTATTTTAGCAGGGAATGACAACAACGTCGCACAAATACATGATTCTTATTTAAGAGGAAGACACTTTGGGCAAATGTAGAACACATCATGGGAGCAGTTGTCCCCTCCTAAGGCTGACTCTTGCTTCTGGCATCTTCTGCTCCTCCCAATCCTCCAGCATACCCTGCTTGGAGAAATTGTCAAGCTCTTGGAAAAGGCCAAAGTTCACTATGTACCTTCTCGCTAATAGGAGGAGGCTGAGTTGTTTTGTTTTGTTTTTTTTTTTTAAATAACTCTTGAAAAGTTTCCTGAGAAGTAAACCCATCCTCTCTAAGAAATAAGTATAAATTTTTATCACCAATTTCATGTATTCTAAGATGCACATTTTTTCACACTTAAATGTTCCTCAAATTGGGATGCATATTACAGTTGCTGCTGGCCTGGTGACAGTCAAGGAGTTGCCATTGCTTAGAGGAGTACAAGCCTATTGTAGCTGTTCACAGGGCATTTTAATTAAGATGTGTGCCTGGTTGGTCCCACCCATGTGAGCTCCCAGGCTGCTGGCAATGTGTATGCTATGATTTGACATCAACATTCTACACAATGTCAATGTGTAGGAATTTCAGGAATACCCTGGCCTTATATTTTCCTGTTAACAAATGCACAAGAGTGATATGCAATCTAAAAATAATCTGTGTCTAAAGAAGTCTGAAGGAGCATTTTCAAACTGATTATAAAGAAAAAATGTTAGAGTTTAATTAGCAGGTATCTGTTCCCTTTCTTAGTGATACAAAAAAAAAAAAAATGATACATTTTACGATCTTCCATTCTGCATCTTAAACTCAGTATATCCCTGGTGTGTTATCTCAGTCTATGCTCTTCATGCATCAGAGAAGGGTTGTGAAATGAAGCAGAATTCTGACCGAAGTAAGGGGAGCTGAAAAAGGGAGCTTTGCTTTAGAAACTTTTGAGGTTACTTCTCATTCCCTGGTGCTTGTACAGAAGACAACAACAACAACAAAAATCATGACAGAGAAAAACAAGTTGGGTTACACAAGATTCTAGTGGGATTCAGTTTTCAGAGTGCTGGCAACTAGCCTGGAAACAGCTCTATAAGCTCCTGGAATCCTCCAGAGGACTGCAGAACTCCATAAACCATATGCTGACATCATCCCTGTCTGGGCATAGACAGGACCAGCAGCCACCCAGGAATGGCCTTAAAGAATCCCTAATGAATTAATCATCATAAACCAGCTTGGAAGCAGGAGAACATGCTCATGCCGTCAGTCTGCCTTTGCCCAGGAGTTCCACCTCCCATTCACCAATTAACTTTACAGTTGCATCTGCCTTTCCTGCCAAGCTCTCCCATAAAGGAATTTATCACCTTCTGTTCTGCTTTTCTTCCCAAATGTGAGTCAGAAACCAACAGCACTGTTTAAAAGGGCACTTTCAGCAAATCCAATTATGCCCCCAAGCACCTTTACACAGAATGAGTGAGCTCTTCTGCCCGTCCTTTTGTGGCTTTATTAAACCCTGCTGGCCCAGAAGCTCACGGCTAGCTTCGGCCAATCATAATAAGAAACACTTGTTTATGTGCCAGGTACTGTTCTAAGGGTTTCATATATATTAACTCATTTCATCCTCATGACAATCCTTTGAGGTCAGTACTATTATTATCCCGTGTTACAGATAAGGAAACTGAATCATAGAAAAGTTAAGAAACTTGCCCAGGGTCACACAGCTCCAGGAAGATGAGATGAGGGTTGAACCCAGGCAATCTGGCTCCAGAGTCCATGCTTGTAACCACTCCACATGCTCTATAATGAAGAAAGATGGTCAGACATTTTACTTTGCCTTTTTCTAAGTAAAGATGTGAAAGTTAGCTGGTCCTGTGGCGTTCACACCTTAATCAGTCTTGCTTGGAACTCAGTATATATAAAGGATCCAATCAGAGATGCCTTGTTTGAAATGTGGGTAAGGGCCTGCAGGCATTGCCCCTGTATGCCTTCCTGCTGAACCCCTGCGGTGGCCTTGGGTATTTCCTAGGACACCAGGGTCTTCTGGAAATCACAACGGGGAAACCTCCACCTAAATGCCTCTTCTTACAGATGAGTTACCTGAGATCTCCAAGCAGCCGGAGTTCCCAAGGCTGCAGAGCTCAGCAGGGGCAGAGCTGCTGGCAGAGCCCAGCTCCCCTGACGCTCCACCAGATTCTGGCTCCCTGGCCCCGCCCCAGTATGCTGCCTCTGCATGTCAGTTAGCGCCTGCAACACCGCACTTAATGAGGACAAACAAATGTGCTCATCGCATTGAGTTCAAGTGTGAATGATGTGGTCTTTCTGCTCCTGCTTAGCAATCCTTTCTCTGGAAAGATCTAGGGCAGACACCACAGAGCTTTATACATCAACTTCCAGAGAGCAGGGGTGGGTTTACTGGGAAGCCCTCAAAATCAGAGCTGCAGCAGTTCCGATTAATCTCAATTAGTCTCATCTTCAAGGGAATTTCCACTATCACTATTATTTCATCCATGGATATTGTTTGGAAGCCTGTCCTTCTAACCTATCCCTAGTACGATAGGGGATAGAACCCTTAAATCACCTGAGAAATTTGGAAGGGCTCATGCAAGTTAGTAATATCTCTTTTTTTCTGGAGTATACATCTCCAGTTTCTTCTGTATGGATCACTTTGTATTTGCAGAGAGCCCACAAAGCGTCATTGTTTTTGAAAGCATTGCCTCTTGAAAATAAATCTGTGTCCTTCCCTCGCAGCAGGCGCTATCAAGACCTTTTCTGAGGGCTCAAACCAGACAGATGGAGTAAGTGGCCATGAAGTAGTAGTAACTTACAATTACTGCTGTGTATTTTTAAGTTAATAAATAAATAATTCTTCAATTGCAACACTTTCCTTTGTGCTAACTGAACTTTTACACATGGTGTACATCTACTGTGATAGTAGGAGTAATATCTCCCTAGGATATTATGAATAATACCACAGGCTGCACATCCACTGTAATATCCTACTCCTAGTAATATCTCCCTAGTATATTATGAGATCACATCACAGGGTGTATACCCACTGTGATATTAGAAGTAATATCTCCATAGGATATTACAAATGATATCACAAGGTGCACACCAACTGTGATATTAGTAGTAATATCTCCTAGGATAGTAGGAATAATACCACCGGGTGTACACCCACTGTGATATTAGGGGTAATATCTCCCTAGGATATTACAAATAGCATCACAGGGTGTACACCCACTGTAATATTAGGACTTATATCTTCCTAAAGTATTATGAATTATATCACAGGGTGTACACACATGGTATACACCCACTGTGATATTAGGAGTAATATCTCCCTACGATATTACAGATAATATCACAGTGGGTGTACACCTATGATATATACATGGTGTACACCCACTGTGATATTAGAAATAATATCTCCCTAGGATATTACAAATGATACCACAAGATGCACACCAACTGTGATATTAGCAGTAATATCTCCTAGGATAGTAGGAATAATACCACCGGGTGTACACCCACTGTGATATTAGGAGTAATACCTCCCTAGGATAGTACGAATAATATCACATGGCATACACTTTCTGTGATATTATGAGTAATAGCTCCCTAGGATAATACTCCTTGTATCACAGGGTGTGCACCCACTGTAATATTAGGAGTAATATCTCCCTAGAATATTATGAACAATATCACAGGTTGTACACCCACTGTGATATTAGGAGTAATATCTTCCTAGAATACTATGAATAATAACAGAGTGTACTCCCACTGTGATATGAGGAGTCATATCTTCCTAGGATATTATGAATAATGTCTACCTAGGATATTATGTATAATATCATAGGGTGTACACTCACTTTGGTATGAGAAGTAATTTCTCCCTAGGATATTATGAATAATATCACATGGTGTATACCCACTGTGATATGAGGAGTAATATCATCTCCCTAGGATATTACAAATAATATCACAGGGTGCATACGAACTGTGATGTTAGATGTTAGGATATTATGAATAATATCACATGGTATATACCCACTGTGATATGAGGAGTAATATCATTTCCCTAGGATATTACAAATAATATCACAGGGTGCACACGAACTGTGATGTTAGATGTTAGGATATTATGAATAATATCACATGGTGTATACCCACTGTGATATGAGGAGTAATATCATCTCCCTAAGATATAATGAATAATATCATAGTGGGTGTACACATATGGTATATACCCACTGTGATATTAGGGGTAATATCTTTCTAGGATGTTATGAATGATATCACAGGGTGTACACCCACAATGATATTAGGAGTAACATCTCCTAGGAAGATATTACTCCTAATATCACTGTGAGTGTACACCCTGTGATATCATTCATAATATCCTATTGATATATTACTCCTAATATCACAGTGGGTGTACCTGACATGGTCATTTAATAACTTTTTTATAACTCCAGTCACATGCATAAAAAAATCGACATTGGCCAGGCACGGTGGCTCACGCCTGTAATCCCAGCACTTTGGGAGGCTGAGGCAGGCAGATCACAAAGTCAGGAGATTGAGACCATCCTGGCTAACACGGTGAAACCCTGCCTCTACTAAAAATACAAAAAATTAGCTGGGAGTGGTGGCGGGTGCCTACAGTCCCAGCTCCTTGGGAACCAAGGAGGCCGAGCTTGCAGTGAGCCGAGATCATGCCACTGCACTCCAGCCTGAGCGGCTCCAACCTTGAGACTCCATCTCAAAAAAAAAAAAAAAATTGACGTAGACTTGCCTCCCTTTCTGACATTGTCTGATGGTGTTTTGATAACTTTGATAGTGTGATACATTTATGCAGGATAGAAGGAAAAAAGGAAATAATCATATTTTTTGCTCATTACTGATTTTTTAAAAATCCTCCCTTCCTCTGCGTGAATAGATGCGTTATATTAAGAGTCAAATGGCAACCACTGTATTAGGTTCGCATCTCTGGCCATCTTCAGATATATCTGTCTTTGTCTTTTGTAAACTTAGCCAAGTTATTTATGCTCACACTTAACTTCTCTCTAGAAATAATGCCATTCCAGTCATTAAGAAATAGGAATTCTCAAGAGAGAGAATTCACAGGTATGGCATTATTGTGGGGAAATTGAGCTGCTTATTTATAAAAGACGTTGTTAACAAAGGAAGAGAATTCCGCTTTATGTTCAGATGGCTATTTTCTTGGATCTCATGCAAATCTTGATGTCATAGTCTGGGGCAGGAATGAGCACCAAGTAAATGCCTTCTTAAGTAGATGCAGCCAAGTATAAAAGAAAATATATACTGTCCCTTAAAATTTAGTCTACGGACCATAAATGCTATTAGAATTGCCTCATTTCTTCCAGCAGTTTTCTAATCTAATTGCCGTAAGTGGAATACTTTCAATACACAGATGTTCGGTCTCCACTCAAGACCTCCTAGGTCAGAATCTATTGGGATCTGTCCCAAGCAGTGTGTGTAAAGGTTTTCTGCTATGCCTACCCTAATTGGCTAAGAACAACAACTGTCAATGGTTCATCCTTTGATATCCTTTAAAAAAACAAAAACAAAACAAAAAAACCCTAAAGCATTTTTGTAACTTTTTATAATGTTTTCTTGATTCCACTGATGCCAAAATTAATTTTCCTGGTTAAAATATCACAACTCCAGGCTGGGCCTGGTGGCTGGTGCCTGTAATCTCAGCACTTTGTGAGGCCAAGGCGGACGAATCACAACTTCAAGAGATCAAGACCATCCTGGCCAACATGGTGAAACCTGTCTGCACTAAAAATACAAAAATTAGCTGGGCATGGTGGTGTGTGCCTGTAGTCCTAGCTACTTGGGAGGCTGAGGCAGGAGAATCGCTTGAATGTGGGAGGCAGAGGATGCAGTGAGCCGAGGTCCTGCCATTGCACTCCAGCCTGGGCAACAAATTGAGACTCCATCTCAAAAAAAAAAAAAAAAATCACAACTCCAGAAGATGATTTGAAGGGTAAAATTGACAGCAAACGATCCTTGGGGAAAAAGACGGGATAGAAAGTTTGGGGACTTCACCAAGTTTCAATTTGAAAGAAGTGCAGTGTATGCAGGTTAAAACCTCTTGTCAACTGCTGACTTTATGAAATGACTTGGTGTCAAGCCAGTAGCAGACAGGTGCCTCTGTGCCACTAAGTATTGACTTGACCCTTGTCATTAACAGGCAGGTTTAAGCATAGTGGCCCGGCAGCACAGCCTCTGAGGCATGCAGATATTCCCTTTCCTGGGTGGGACCTCCAAACCTTGGGAAGAATTGGACTGAGTATCCGTGGAGAGGGCCTTCCAAAGCTGTCATTCCCAACCAGTGCTCAATTCCTTCTGGAAGCACATTTCCATACACACCCAGCATTGCTGATAAGACAGGTTGCTGTCCTGGAGTGTGAGCTGTGCAAGGGTGAGAAATGGTTAAACAAGGCATAAAAGGTAGGCAAGATTATACAAAGCTTAGGTTAACAGGTATTTTCATATGTCTACAAAGCCATTTTACACAAAAAGATCATTCTCCCTTATGTAAATCAACACCCTTTCAAAATGGAAAAACATGAAATAAAAAGGAATCACAATAGGTTGAATATAGTCTGAGCTACGGTTTTCTATGTGCAGATGCCTGTCGTGAGTAGCTTGTAAAGTCAGTCACTGTGACCGTTCATGCATAGGCTTTGCTGATTTTACAAATACATAGTAATGCAGCCGCCTCTCCAAGGGCAGGCTGCAGCCTGACGTTTGCACAGCCAGCAGAAATAATTTCTTGTGGGAGATAGAATTTCGTCGTTTAGCAATATTCCATCAAAGGAAGCTGCACCCTCAGCCACACACGCTGTCTATTTCAGGGGAGTTGGCTGCCCTTCCCCTGGCTGCTTCCCTTCTAATTAATAGGCAGCCAGCAGGTAAATCAATGCATTTTACACAGGATGGCAGAGTAGATTCTGGAGATCTCTATATTAGGAATATTTATTATGTGATGTAGCCACAAGGTTTTAAAACATGTGTTGATTTTTCTTGATTATTGAAGTAAATCATGTTCAAGAAAGAAAGGTTGAAAAATAATAAACCTTGAAAAAATCATTCTTAATTCAGTCATTCAAAGATAACCATTCTAACATAGTAGTGTACTTTGTACCCTTTTTTTTTTTTTTTTACAGTATTGGCATTATAATATAAAATCAGTTTGCCCTTCTGCTTTCTTAT